GATTTGAAAGTTTCTGATATTTTCTTTAACAAAAGTTGTTTATGCAGTTTTGTGCATAACCCATAATAGTTCATGACTGTTTTCTGGAATTTATCCTTTTCTAAATTAAAATCGGTATGCTGGTAGCGAGCTAAAAAGTATTTCCGATGATAAAATTACAGATCTCTAGTATTAATGCGTTTCTATTTTTTTATGACAAATCACATTTTATATAAATCTAATTGATCCCTATTATCGTTCTTTTTTTACTTAACTTGCCCCCTCTGTTTATTTTCCTATTGAATCAGGATAGTGCAAAGTCCTCCTAAAAAGAGTTGGAAGAAAGATTGTTCACAAATACTCCGTGGATCATCCGATAATTACTCAAAAAACATAATTCCTCAATCTTGACAATGGTGAAAAAGGCCATATTGTTTGTAGTTTTTGGAGCGTAAGCAGGGATGTAGGGTTTTACTATAACAGGGTTGGGCAATTTTCCAGTTAATGTTCCTAATCCGAAATCCGATATGGGGAAAGTTGAAGGTGGTTGTGTATAATTTCATGTCCCCAATGTTATGCGGAGATGACCCTGTGATTTTAGAGCCCGTAGAGAGAAATATCACAGGTTTGCTATCTCAGTCATTAATTCTTTCATTTTTGTTCCCCCTTCAGTGGTAGCAGTGTGCTATGTATATTGAGCTCAAGCTTTGTTGTAATACTAGCCGCACAGGGACTTGTTTAGTGCAACAAGTTCTGTAATCTTTTATCCATTGACCCGGAAAAAAAAGGTTCTATAATCTTGTGGGCTTGTGTGATGTCTTATGAATTCCCTTATCTGTGCATTTTTTATGTGTGAGTGTGTGTGTAGCTGCTTATGGCAGATTTCGAAGCAAAATCATTCTGTTGCCTTCAGCATTGATGTAATTTTAACAACCTTTTTATTTTGTGCTATTTTTATTAAAGTTTGGTGTCTTCTTCCTGGTATTGATGAAGATTGAAAGGAAATGGCTTTAAACTGAAGCCACATCATGAGCTCCAGTTGGTAGGGCTTCTTATATTGTTAAAAAGGCAAAATTAGGTCCAGCCATCTACTTCGTCCTAAAGACTTCCACAGAAAGTGCCCATCATTTTTTGAGGCTGCCAGATAATTTGTTTGGTCACCAGAGACCTTGATTGCGGTCCATCCACATTTGGGTGGTTAAATTGGAAATTTTTCTGATGTCTGATGTATAGCCCTTTTGAGAATTATTAATTGTAGATGCATTTCATGCACTATGGTGTGCAGCTATTTTTTGTTCCCTAATTTTTTTTTTTACCCAGTAGCGCTTACAGTTCTTGAACATCATTCAGACGACATAATTTTTTCTTGCCCTCGATTTACAGAGCAAATTAGTAGTTTCAGTCCCAATTAAATGCATATAATTTTTTTGTTGATTGCGTTTTGAGATTGTAAATGTTATATGGAGGTGAAGAAGTGTAAATTCAGATAAAATGCTAGGGATTGCACCCTGAATTGTGTTTGCAACTAGCCTACTTGATTTTTTTGAAATATTTGGTGAAGCGATTAATATATTCAGTTTTTGTGCATTGATTGTGAGATTGCATATTCTGTTTCGTTCTCTGTCGAATTGGGTAGCGAGCTCTCTCTGGTTGATGGAGTCCAAGTTTAGCATAATTTTTTTGTTAGACTCCGATGTAGCCTGTTTAGTCAGATTGGATATGTAAATACATTGTTTGGTTGTAACTTCATAGCTAAGAAAATATAAATGAATTTGTATTTTATAGAAAAAGCTTGAGATAAATGTTACCAATTTAGTGGGAGGAAAAAAAATTGCTGGTTTCGGAAAAGAAAATTAAAAAATAAATGTAATTCCACCTAATCAAAAAGTCTTTCTTAAATCCAAATTGAAAAATCCACTTACAAGAAGCTTCCCTTATAGGGAAACCAAATTGAAAATCAACCTATAAACAAGTTTCCTTATACTAGTATGGCGCATGTGTTTCGCACGAAAGCATATCTATTTTATTTTATGTTTTTTTATTTTTTGGATGCAAAATGATAAAACGACTTGCATAGCAATATAAATTCTAAACATTTATAAATTTACTTAAATAAATAAATTGTACGGTAAAACAATATATAAAGAACTATATGATAAATTATTATAGTTTAGATAATTATTATAATTTAGTAAAATAATTATAATATATTAAATAGTTTCTTCTCTTTTAAACATAATAATAATATACATGGCATAATTATAATACTTTTAGTAACTATATTTTAAATTAATAATTAGTTTATTATACTATTAGTAAATAATTTACTAAATTGTATACTTTTTTAATTACAGTGAAATTTATTAGTTTAAATAATATTATTAATTTTTTTATACTATGAATACTATTACAATTATAATGAATATAAATTGTTTTCACACTCTTATCATACTTTTAAAAAGTTAATAAGATGCAAGGTAACATGTAGTCCCCCATAAGAGGCGAAACCCAAAGGTGTAAGGCATAAAACTAATGAATTTTTATTATTTTTAAATTTTCTATTAAATAACATAATTAAATAATAAAATAATAGTGTGACCAAATATTTTTAAAAAGTGAGGAAATGCATAATTAATAAGAGGTTAAATATAATTAGTGAATGAATGATAAATTATAACTAATAACATTTGAGAATTATCAAATTTAAAAGGGTAAAAATGGAAATTAAAAGTTTTGACAATGCAATCCTCTTTTATATGTGGTATAGATATAGATGAAAAAATTATGTAGCTTTTACACTAATTGTTTTTCTACCAAATACTTAATTTGCATTGAAACTACATTTTGTACAATATAATTGCAAATATGCAAATAATAAATTTGCAAGTAACGTTTGTTCTAAATTTTTTTTTACAGCAAACCAAACAGCTCGAAAAGTATATTTCTAGTTGTGATTCAAAAAAAAAAAAAAAATTTGTTGCTACTTGCCTGCGGACTTTCGAGCTAACTTCGTCACAAACCAAACTAATTAGCACTAATTGGACAGCTCATCTTGCAATATAACTGGGGCCAAAAGGATTCCAACTTTAATAGATTATTTAATTTCATATCATAAAGTCTTATCCTTGATTAATAATTAATTAATAAGTACGCAGTACGAGTTCGTGAGTGGCATATGAAACGTTACGTCATTGCTATGCCTTATTATATTCATCGTCTTTTAAATTAAAACATTCCAGTTTTATATTCTAATAAATAACAACAGTGAACAAACCATTTAAGACAAATCATCATTATTATTAACAAAAAGAAGGAAAATAAAAATGTCACATCTTCTAGATCCTGTATTTATCAATAAAAAACAACTTGTTACTCTCCGACTAAAATAATCTAAGTATCGGTATTAAAGTATTTCAATCTTTTAATTATCTTTATGCGTGTACCCCACCCTTTTTCTACAAATATGTATGGCAAGAGATTGTTATGTTTTAAATTTAGTCCCTCTAATAATTAAATCAAAACTTCAAAGTTAAGATAAGAAATAAGAATTATATTTATATATTCGAACATTGGTTCTACATGTTGAGCATCCTTTTAATGAGCTGAAACAAGTACTCACGCGACGGTATTAATTTTTTAAAAAAATTTGCTTTAAATTTATGATCGGTAAAATATAAATCCGAATTGCTCTTATATCATCTTAAATTTAATCCCTCTAAATATTACATTAAAATTCTAATATTTGATGAGAGACGATTATTATATTTTTATATTCTAACATCATGAAATTAAGTCAAAAGCATCACGCCTGAGGAAGCTACGAAAGAAGTAATGATATAAACATGAAACAATAAGAAAAATAAAATCTTAATATAAAATTCAGCAAATTATAGAAAATTCCCTTTAATATTTGTATAATTGATGCAAAATCGCCCAAACTCTAACAGTGACGCTTCAGCCCCCACCATTCTCATTTCTGAACCGTTAATTTGAACGTAAAAATTCATACGATTATTATATAGAAAATGGACAAATAGATTCAAACTTTAATGATTATTTACTAGAAACTGAAAATGAGATGGGCAAAGTGACCCTTTAAAAACCTTAGGGGTGATTTTGTGTCAATCATGGGATCCTTGGGGAGATTTTCTTTATTTCGCCCATAATTTTTTAGTTGGTTCTTATGGATTATACTCCTCCATCCAATGATGTTAAGAATTATCTTCGCTGTTAAGTTGATTATTATCATACCTTTTTAACTCTTTCCACTTAAGTTTATTTTTTCCCCAATCGATCTTAGTTTACTTTGTTAATTATAGTATGAAAATAAACACTTAGCAGCGAATTGGATTGAAGCTGACGTGTTCCTCCACACTGTTAGCTGGTATGCTACTAAAGTGATATGCATTCTGAACGCTAATTACAATTTAGATTTTACATATGTTCATCACCGATAGTTGTCTGAATATGCACAACAATTTATCATGTTAGCAGATTTACCTCCTAAACTTGCATACTTACTAATTCATAAAAACTAACGCGGTAGGAAGTAGAGATTAGTAAATGTGCAGATTTAAGAATAAATAAATCTTCTAATAAGATAAGACTTTGGGGTTGTTTAGACAATCTGTAAACTTCAAGTGAAATTTTACATTATAAAGAAGGGCTTAAATGAAATAGAACATTCTGATCTGCGCACCATTTTAGGACACCACCGCCTGCTGCCCTCTCAGATCACTCACCCTCTCCTATAAATACCCCCCTCCCCCCACTTTACGAGAAAACAGAGACCTAACCGAGAATAAAAATTTTCTAGAGCGAGAAAGAAAACGAAACCCTAGAGAGAGAAACGCCATGTCGTCGGGCTTCGACACCTTCATCCTCGACGGCGACGAAGCTGCCCCCGGCGCCACCGACGAAGGATACTCCGGCTACGACTCTCAGCGCTACGAGAGCTACTCCGGATTCTCTGCCGGCGACGAGGAGGTCAAAGATCCGGCGATCGGAGGTGACTACGGAGAGATCCCAGTCCACGGCGGTGGGATCGGGTCGGATCCGGCGTCGCCGGAGGGAACGGGGTTCGCGTCGGATCCGCCTCCGTTTGGGATGCCGGAGTCTAATGGAAAGGTTTATGGGATAGAGGAGAGCGAGGACATCTTTACCTCCGATGGGCCGATGCTGCCGCCGCCGAACGAGATGCAGGAGGAGGGGGCTAAGTTGCGGGAATGGCGACGGTGAGTGGTGGTTTTGATTGATTTGGGGTTTGGATCTGATGAAGTTAGGGTTTGACTGATTGGATTTGATTAGATCTGCTGTTTCTAATTTCTTGAAAAAGGTGGATTAGATTTGGTTATTTACTCTAGACCTTCAAATTGAGGTAAAAGATTTGCCCAGAGCACCTTAAATTTGTGAATTATTGATGAATTTTAGATCTTTAGTTTGTAAATGCGTAGAAAACTAGTCTTTCTAAGATTTCAGTGCGCTCGTTGACTGTTAATTGTATGAACTCGAAGTGGTGATAAGACAACCAATAGGACAATACTTCTGTAAATGGAGCTTGCATTTGATAGTTTTTTTAGCATTCCTTTGTCAAATAATGTTGAAGAGTATCATTCCGGTGTTATCTATATTCTTTAGATCTTACCATTTGAGAGGCTTACCATGTAAATTATGATTATTAGTGTTTGATGCGTATGATTGCATTCTTGTTTAACATCTAAGGGGAGTTGACTTTTAAGGCTTAGTTGAATGGCCTATATATGTTTAGATCATGAAACTTTGGTTGCCTTATTCTTTTAGCAGGAGATGTATGTAGATGGACGTTTCTATTTATAGCAAGGCCCCTTAGATGTTAAAAAAAAATGTATGTAGATGCTATATTAAAAATGTATGTAGATGTATGTATGGAGATGTATGTAGATGGACGTTTCTATCTAAGGGGAGTCATTCTTTTAGCAGGAGATGTATGTAGATGGACGTTTCTATTTATCATGAAACTTTGGTTGACTTAGAATTGCTCACTATATACCCGACCCTTTTAAGAGTGGAGCCAAGTGTAGGGACTCTAGTCAGGTTGAACGGGACATGAACATAGAATAACTCTTCTTACTAGGAGATGCTATATTTAAAATATGTGAATTTGTTAACTAGATGCCTGTGAGTAAAATGGCTTTAATTGGGAAAAAGGAAGCTTATCCTCATGAGTGTAGGGGAACCTCTTGCATTCATGGCTGTTTTAGGTAGTTCCCTAATAATGTGGCATTAGATATTGAATACATGAACAAGGTGAAGAAAATCTGCCTTTTTCAGATTTTAGATTCATAAGAAGATTTTAGTTTTAGATTACAACAAAAATAACTTTAGAAAAAGGATGATGACAGCGTGGTTCAGATCCAAAATCTGCAAAACAAGAGATTGAGCAACATGCTAGTGATACAATAATGAACACATTAGTAATTGCTTGTGGATTTAGAAGGCAACATCCAGTTATGAATAGGTTGATGTCTAGTACATGAAATGTAGTAACCCAAACCTTGCTATTCCTAACTGGAATGAAGTAATTAACATAATTGCTAGGCAAATGATTCTAGCAGGGTGTTTTTCTTCAATTATTACACAGCTTATTGGCGTGCATTGGTTGTCCCTGCATTTTTTGTATGTTGATGAGATAGCCTTGAGGAGAGAAATGAGTGTGAGGGGTTTTCTTCTCAAGTTTAAAATATAGGTAGGCAAGAGGCACTTGTCTTTTGCCACCCATTACCTCCAATAGCCTCAAACCTATCCTGGCGTGCATTGGTTGTCCCTGCATTTTTTGTATGTTGATGAGATAGCCTTGAGGAGAGAAATGAGTGTGAGGGGTTTTCTTCTCAAGTTTAAAATATAGGTAGGCAAGAGGCACTTGTCTTTTGCCACCCATTACCTCCAATAGCCTCAAACCTATCCTATTAGTGAAAGTAATATTCGAGTTGCTACATTAAAAGGTGGCTCTTTTGACTTCTAGGTATGTGTAATATTTTATTGCTATAAGTGATTAACCTGAATAGATGGTAAAGTTTTGGATTAGGTGATGTAACCTACGATTTGGCATATGAAGATGTTAAAACAGGTTCTTGCCAATAACGAAGCATCCCCTTGAAAATTCAGTGTGCTATAAGAGTTATCTTGCCATGCTACATTAGCTAATTGTACTTTACATGTTCGTGACATTATGATCTATGATTTTCTCTTCCAAAAAGGATTGCTTGTTTGTAAATTATTATGAAACTTCATATTATTTTGTTTTTAGTGATAATGGATGTTAACTGTCATTGATGATTTTGTCATGGTTGTGAGGCTGTGGTTTCTAGAGCGGGAGTCAATAGGGCTCCGCAAAAGGGTTTATAGGTTTTTGTTTATTTTGGAAATTGTTCCCTCAAAGGCTCAACTTCTGGTTCATGATGGATTGAATTGTTCTTGTTGTCAAAGATCAATGTTATTGATATGCACTACACACCATGAAGGGATCCTCAACTGGACATGCCAAATGCTGAGGATGATTAGAATCAGAGATGGACAGATCAAGAAGTAGAGGTGACTAATCTGTAATCTTTAGGAAAGAACTGAGGAGGGAGAGGAAAGGTATAAGCAGAGGGAGGGGATGCTGCCTCTCCGCCATGGTTCTGAAAATCACATGCTCCCGCTAGGTAGATGTGAAGCAATAAGGAATTCAATTCTTTCGCACACTACCAACCATTCACTGTGTGTGTAGTGAGATTACAATTAGGAAAATGATATTCAAGAAATGATAATATCACGGAATCTCAATGTTGTATTAAGGTTTAATTGACTACTTAGAACTGAATATAAAACTTAAAATTTCTTGTCTATGCTTTTAGCTGAATTTGAATAACTTGCAAATGTTCAATTTCCAGTCCGATATTTAGTATCTAAGTAGATGTATCTCTTTTTTTTGGGTAATTCTCGTCGATACCTTTACCCTTTCCATATTCATTCCACTTGTAATTGTCTATGTACCTATAATCCTCTGTAATTGTCTATGTACCTATAATCCTCCGAATTACTGTCAATCATATATCCCATCATATTCATACTTTAAATATTCTGACCACTATTTTGCTAAGATACTTGTTTGATTTAGATGAATTTGTTTTATTTCCTAAAAGGCCACAAGTAGTTAATATAGTTTAATTTCATCAAACATGCAGACAAAATGCCATCCATCTGGAGGAAAAAGAAAAGAGGGAAAAGGAAATGCGCAACCAAATCATTCTTGAAGCCGAGGACTACAAAAAGTCTTTCTACGAGAAAAGGAAACTCAATGTTGAAACAAGCAAGAACCACAACAGAGAGAGGGAGAAGGTTGGAGAAACAGGAGGAGGGGGCTAAGTTGCGGGAATGGCGACGGTGAGTGGTGGTTTTGATTGATTTGGGGTTTGGATCTGATGAAGTTAGGGTTTGACTGATTGGATTTGATTAGATCTGCTGTTTCTAATTTCTTGAAAAAGGTGGATTAGATTTGGTTATTTACTCTAGACCTTCAAATTGAGGTAAAAGATTTGCCCAGAGCACCTTAAATTTGTGAATTATTGATGAATTTTAGATCTTTAGTTTGTAAATGCGTAGAAAACTAGTCTTTCTAAGATTTCAGTGCGCTCGTTGACTGTTAATTGTATGAACTCGAAGTGGTGATAAGACAACCAATAGGACAATACTTCTGTAAATGGAGCTTGCATTTGATAGTTTTTTTAGCATTCCTTTGTCAAATAATGTTGAAGAGTATCATTCCGGTGTTATCTATATTCTTTAGATCTTACCATTTGAGAGGCTTACCATGTAAATTATGATTATTAGTGTTTGATGCGTATGATTGCATTCTTGTTTAACATCTAAGGGGAGTTGACTTTTAAGGCTTAGTTGAATGGCCTATATATGTTTAGATCATGAAACTTTGGTTGCCTTATTCTTTTAGCAGGAGATGTATGTAGATGGACGTTTCTATTTATAGCAAGGCCCCTTAGATGTTAAAAAAAAATGTATGTAGATGCTATATTAAAAATGTATGTAGATGTATGTATGGAGATGTATGTAGATGGACGTTTCTATCTAAGGGGAGTCATTCTTTTAGCAGGAGATGTATGTAGATGGACGTTTCTATTTATCATGAAACTTTGGTTGACTTAGAATTGCTCACTATATACCCGACCCTTTTAAGAGTGGAGCCAAGTGTAGGGACTCTAGTCAGGTTGAACGGGACATGAACATAGAATAACTCTTCTTACTAGGAGATGCTATATTTAAAATATGTGAATTTGTTAACTAGATGCCTGTGAGTAAAATGGCTTTAATTGGGAAAAAGGAAGCTTATCCTCATGAGTGTAGGGGAACCTCTTGCATTCATGGCTGTTTTAGGTAGTTCCCTAATAATGTGGCATTAGATATTGAATACATGAACAAGGTGAAGAAAATCTGCCTTTTTCAGATTTTAGATTCATAAGAAGATTTTAGTTTTAGATTACAACAAAAATAACTTTAGAAAAAGGATGATGACAGCGTGGTTCAGATCCAAAATCTGCAAAACAAGAGATTGAGCAACATGCTAGTGATACAATAATGAACACATTAGTAATTGCTTGTGGATTTAGAAGGCAACATCCAGTTATGAATAGGTTGATGTCTAGTACATGAAATGTAGTAACCCAAACCTTGCTATTCCTAACTGGAATGAAGTAATTAACATAATTGCTAGGCAAATGATTCTAGCAGGGTGTTTTTCTTCAATTATTACACAGCTTATTGGCGTGCATTGGTTGTCCCTGCATTTTTTGTATGTTGATGAGATAGCCTGGAGGAGAGAAATGAGTGTGAGGGGTTTTCTTCTCAAGTTTAAAATATAGGTAGGCAAGAGGCACTTGTCTTTGCCACCCAATTACCTCCAATAGCCTCAAACCGCCCCCCCCCCCCGCCACGGGAAAACTTTATTCATTTATGTTATTATGTCACCACTTTCTAGCAAGTATACTAATTTGTTATGTAATCTAATTAGTGAAAGTAATATTCGAGTTGCTACATTAAAAGGTGGCTCTTTTGACTTCTAGGTATGTGTAATATTTTATTGCTATAAGTGATTAACCTGAATAGATGGTAAAGTTTTGGATTAGGTGATGTAACCTACGATTTGGCATATGAAGATGTTAAAACAGGTTCTTGCCAATAACGAAGCATCCCCTTGAAAATTCAGTGTGCTATAAGAGTTATCTTGCCATGCTACATTAGCTAATTGTACTTTACATGTTCGTGACATTATGATCTATGATTTTCTCTTCCAAAAAGGATTGCTTGTTTGTAAATTATTATGAAACTTCATATTATTTTGTTTTTAGTGATAATGGATGTTAACTGTCATTGATGATTTTGTCATGGTTGTGAGGCTGTGGTTTCTAGAGCGGGAGTCAATAGGGCTCCGCAAAAGGGTTTATAGGTTTTTGTTTATTTTGGAAATTGTTCCCTCAAAGGCTCAACTTCTGGTTCATGATGGATTGAATTGTTCTTGTTGTCAAAGATCAATGTTATTGATATGCACTACACACCATGAAGGGATCCTCAACTGGACATGCCAAATGCTGAGGATGATTAGAATCAGAGATGGACAGATCAAGAAGTAGAGGTGACTAATCTGTAATCTTTAGGAAAGAACTGAGGAGGGAGAGGAAAGGTATAAGCAGAGGGAGGGGATGCTGCCTCTCCGCCATGGTTCTGAAAATCACATGCTCCCGCTAGGTAGATGTGAAGCAATAAGGAATTCAATTCTTTCGCACACTACCAACCATTCACTGTGTGTGTAGTGAGATTACAATTAGGAAAATGATATTCAAGAAATGATAATATCACGGAATCTCAATGTTGTATTAAGGTTTAATTGACTACTTAGAACTGAATATAAAACTTAAAATTTCTTGTCTATGCTTTTAGCTGAATTTGAATAACTTGCAAATGTTCAATTTCCAGTCCGATATTTAGTATCTAAGTAGATGTATCTCTTTTTTTTGGGTAATTCTCGTCGATACCTTTACCCTTTCCATATTCATTCCACTTGTAATTGTCTATGTACCTATAATCCTCTGTAATTGTCTATGTACCTATAATCCTCCGAATTACTGTCAATCATATATCCCATCATATTCATACTTTAAATATTCTGACCACTATTTTGCTAAGATACTTGTTTGATTTAGATGAATTTGTTTTATTTCCTAAAAGGCCACAAGTAGTTAATATAGTTTAATTTCATCAAACATGCAGACAAAATGCCATCCATCTGGAGGAAAAAGAAAAGAGGGAAAAGGAAATGCGCAACCAAATCATTCTTGAAGCCGAGGACTACAAAAAGTCTTTCTACGAGAAAAGGAAACTCAATGTTGAAACAAGCAAGAACCACAACAGAGAGAGGGAGAAGGTTGGAGAAACCACTACAATTACCAATAACCCTTTCTATTGCTTGACATTCTTTTCTTCCATTGTTAGGTTTTTTTCCGTTTTAGTCCATTAAATCTCATTCTTTGAAATTAGTCCCCTAAATTATTGAAACTGCTATTCGGCATCCCAAATCTTACAAGTTGTTTCGAGCCAATCCCTTTAATTTCTGCTTCTCCTCTTGATTGGAGGAAATAATTTTAAAAATAAGTTAAGAACTACAGGATCAATTTTAATGATTTGAGGGACTGATTTTGAAGTATGGAAGATTTAAAGGACTAATATAGGGAGAGAAAAAAAGACCCTTCATTATTTATAACCTTCTGGCTCTATTAATTGCAAATCTACAACTTTGTTGTGCCAGCTATTTCTAGCAAACCAGGAGAAGTTCCATGCTAATGCGGACAAACAGTACTGGAAGGCAATTGCAGAGCTGATACCAAATGAGGTGCCAAACATCGAAAAGAGAAGAGGGAAGAAAGAACAAGACAAGAAACCATCTGTTGTTGTGGTCCAGGGCCCTAAGCCAGGCAAGCCAACTGATCTCACAAGAATGCGTCAAGTGCTGGTGAAGCTGAAGCATAACCCTCCCCCTCACATGATCCCTCCTCCACCACCTAAAGAAGCCCCCAAAGATGCTGCTGCTGCTGCTGCTGCTAAAGATGGCAAAGCAACCACAGCAAAAGACGGTAAAGCAGCAGATGGTAAGAAAGTTGCATCAGCGAAAGAAGCAGCCGCGAGTAATGGTAAGGGATCGCCTAAAGGAGAGGAGACTCCTGCTACTGCAGCGGTGGAAGTGGCAGAAGCAACAGAAGCAGTAGGAGAGAAGCCGGCTGATGCGCCCGAACCTGCTCCCGCTGAGTAGGCGGCGGTTGTCTTCTCTGCATTTTCTGGTATAGCCTTAGTACTTATGGTTACTGAAGAATAAAGCTGGGCTTTCTTTTTGGTATTAGGCCCAGGTTCTCTTTTATATTTCAGCAGGGATGAGCTTCCTCTTCTTACTGACCAACCCATTGTTCATTTCTTGCTCATGTAGAAATTGGTCATTTAGCTTAGGAATCCGGCTTTGAGATTTTTCTTGTATGGGATTCATGTTTTCACTTTTCCTTTTTTTTTTCTTTCCTCCCCCTTCTGATATGTATTATTATACTTTGGGCTGTTGGACCACAGGAACCTGAATGGTTGTTTTCCTAATTTATTCGACATGATTCTAAATATTGGATATCGGAACTTTGTTTTCATATTTCAACTTCATTTCTCGTCATCTAGGATGCCGTTTGGTTGTGCTCGTGGGTTGTTATTATCGTAATGAAAACAGTTTGCATAATGAAATCACGAATCACTTACTTTATCTGCATATGACTACGATGTTTATCTGCATATGACGATAATGGCAAATACATACATCCATGGATTACTTAATCTGCACGACGACGATATGCATCTGCATGTGAGGATAATGGGCAAATGCGTCTGGCGATTATATGCATCTGCATGTGAGGATAATGGGCAAATGCGTCTGGCGATTGCTTAATCGGCATGGCAATAAGTGTCTGCATATGACGATAATGGCAAATGCATCAGTGGATTCCTTCGTCTGCATAACAAATTAACAATCGTCTATGTATTTGTAGTCTTTGTCAGAGGGTGGTTGAATGCATCACACAAACAAGCGTGGCATTTTGCAATTTTTCTCCATTATGCTTATATGCAGGGTTCCTCCCAAATGGCTATCTACATGTGTGCTCATCATCAAATTTCTACATGAAAAATTTTGGATAAAGAAACAAACACATTTGATCTTTAGGTCGGAAAATATGAAAAGAATTAGCCCAATAATTCCCCACCGATTAAACTGTTTGTTGTTTCTCTAGCATCAGGTTAGCTCCTAAATTGCCCTGTACTTTCACTCCTTAACGTGGGCCCATTTCGCTGAATGTAACAGGCGTTGAAGTGAGTGGTGACGTAGTATTCATCGTTGATGAATCCTTGTTATCTGGATCCAACTTCTTTAACCTAAATCCTTCTCCAGTTTTTCTCCAGTCTTCGAGGAGGCCTGGAGGAGTCAATTCCTTCTCGTTGAGTCTAATGGGTTTCGACAGCATCTGTACGACCTGAGGCATGGAGGGCCTCCGTACAGCGGCCCCTTGCGTGCAGAAGAGGCCGACTTTGATGTATCTGATGACCTGTTCTTCGGGATACTCTTTGAGCTCTGGATCCATTAGTTCTAATAGTCTTTCTTCTTCGTAAAGCTCCCAGGTCTGTGGAAACGCAAAATCATATGATAAATGTACTGGACCATTCGGGTAAAGTGGTTTACATATACGGAAGTAGTAAGCAGGGTCTGGTGTGTCCCTCATGGTGTCAGCCAATATTGTTATGACGTGACAAGTAATCTATACCACTACAATCCAGATCATTAATATATCTAGATTCCAGCTAGTGGTTTGTATGTACGTCACGCCAACGACACACCAATCAAGACCAAAGACAGTGGAGGGACCCACCAACCCTCATTTACTAGTATAGAAATTTGCAGGATTTAATACTAATACAATAATTAGAGCATTTATTTATAGGTGGACAATGATAACTTTGTTGCACGAATAGTTAAGGTGTTTTCTGCTGAATTTGAAGAAAATACAAGTTGCTTTCTGTCGAATTCGATAGAACATTGAATCTCAAGCAAACAAAAGTCCAAGTAAAAGCAGTACCTGCTTAGTTAATTGACTTACCCGTTCCAGGAGATATTTCTCCATTTCAGACCAAGACCTTGAGCTACTTCTCCCACTAATTATTTCGAGTACAAGAACACCAAAGCTATATACATCTGCCTTCCTTGTTAATTGTCCACGCGCTGCATACTCAGGCGCCAAATATCCACTGCATACATATACTAGCAGACTAAGTACCGGCAATGCATCCTACCAAATTAGTGAAAATAATAAGAGTTAATTGCAGATAGGTCCCATGTACTATCATCGAACTGCGGATAGACCCCTGCGTGCATTTTTTTTATTACTCTTTACCCTCAGGGGTTAATTGCATACTGAGGTGCCAAATATCCACTGCATACATATAATAGCAGACCAAGTACCAGAATGCATCCTACCAAATTAGTGAAAAGAACAAGGGTTAATTGCAGATAGGTCCGATGTACTATCATCGGATGGACCCCTGCATGAATTTTTTTTATTACTCTTTACCCTCAGGGGTCTGTTTGTCAAAAAAACAACTTTATCTTTCTCTATAAGTTAAAGACCTAGAAAACATCACTCAAGGATCTATCTGCAATAGTAGAAGTATAGGGTGTCTATCTGCAACTGGCAATGTACAGGGGTCTGTCCGCAATGAAACCAAAAAAATAATAATCATAACTTCATGTACACTATGTTTTTTTTTGGAAAAGTGTCAACAAAAAATTTGGCAAAAACTGCATGATTTAGCTAGTATCACTTCTAAAGTTATAGATATCTGGAGGTATTATTAGTTGGAAGCCTTTCTAGCATGTTGAGGCATGCATCTCATCTTGCACCCACATGAACCCATGTGAAGCTACTATACATGATTCTGATAAAATATTTTATAAAGATATTCTTGGTAGGGAATGTAATTCAAACTAAATGCATATTTTTTTCTGATATGCTACCTCTTCATAATGATGCATAATGCAGAACAATGACTTACCTCGTGCCAGCTACACGCGTGCTGATATGTGTGACGTTATCAGGAAAAAGCTTTGCTAAACCAAAATCTCCAATTTTTGGGACAAAGTTTTTGTCAAGGAGAACATTGCTAGCTTTGATGTCTCTATGCACAATATGTGGCGCAACTCCTTCATGAAGATAAGCAAGCCCCTTGGCCGTTCCCAAACAAATTTCAGATCTTATTTCCCAATTAAGATCAGCTGGTCGGCTACGAGGACCTACAATGATAGTGAAAACCAAATATCAAATTATGTTGACAGCATTACCCTTTGGAACTGCCTTCACAGTACTGTATTTATCAAAGGACCTTGCCATGGCACCAAAGCTTCAAAGCTATGGTGAGGGTTGAACTGTTGAGGGTTACAATCTTATACTATTAACATGCCTCAAAACGTTGAGCACCCTTTCATGGGCAAAAATATGGACTCACGGAGCTGTATCTTTCCTTCAAAAAATCCGCTTAAGGATTTGTGGTAAAATTTAAACCTTGGTTGCTCTGGTATCATGTCATTGCTCTGGTATCATGTCAAAGATCCCTTCTAAATTCTAATATACCAAACCACCAAAGTTATGATAAGGGTTAATTTTTTTTACTCTTAACGGCATACCTAGCAATGCATGATCGAGGCTATTGTTTTCTGCATACTCATAGACCAAAATCCTGTTGCTTTCTTGAACACAACAGCCGAGCAACTCAACAAGGTTTGGATGCTTAACATTTGTGATGACGTCAATCTCTGTCAAAAATTCATTAATCCCTTGCCTGGATTGTGCAGAGAGCACCTTTGCAGCAATCAGCATTCCATTTCTAAGAGTACCCTGACATTTCATATACGTGAATTGGACAATCAGAGAATAAACCAAGACCCAGAAATAATCAATAGGGAAATATTAATTCAGTAAAACATTGAAGCATAATAAGGCACAGAAGATTAATCCAGTAAAATATTGAAATAATCAATAGTATGTTGCAGTAACTCGGTTAATAGCATGAACAGATTAACAGATAAGCAACACCAATGGTGATTGTAAATGCACATAGACCCCCTGAGTATTGACATGTTGAACTTACCACCCCTGTAGTTTCATTGTTGCAGGTAAAACAACCGCCTTGTTCTATTTTTTACATGTTTACCCTGGGTGAAACTTTGACAGATATTGCCCTTGATAAAATTAGTGAGTCTATATGAAAATAAAAGAGTTGAAAAAAAGTTAGCCCAAGGGGTCTATCTGCAACAACGCAACCAAAAGGGGTCTATGTGCAATTAACCCAAATTAGTTACAAAAGAAAAGATTAAAACAGTTAACTTAGCATACTTTGTAGACAGTTCCAAAACCTCCACGACCTATCCTATTGCTTGGAAGAAAATTGCCCGTTGCAGATAGCAGTTCATTGTAAGAGAAAAGCCTTATATTCTGCGAGCAACCTGGCGACAGGGAAGCAAAAGAAAAATAAGAAATAAACAGAAGATTTTATGACACAACTGGATTTATCTGCAAAATGTTTCCCTAATAAAATGGTCTTGACAGTTCTTTTGTACCAAATACATAAGACACAAAATTTATTTGCATGTACACGCTTAAGTAGTTTTCTTTTTTTCAAGACTTAAGCTGCATAAATTTTGTGCAGTAAAGATGAGAACCTGTTTAAGTTTTGGTTGATCGCCGTAGTTTTTTTTAAAAAGTTATTATCAGTGCATCAGATATCTCAGGCTTGCATCATCCAAAGATGTCCTGAAGGGGAATCCGAGTTACTCATCATACGCAGTTGATCACCGTAGTTATTCTCTCTATGATGTAATTTGGTAAAATTAAATTCAAAGCATGACAAATAGCATCATAACCAAAATAAACAAGCCAAATTCGCTATAACTTGTATTGGCTTTAAAGACTGTACTTCAGTAGTTCCACATATAATTCAAATGCTCCAATGTTGAACTTCAATAGGCAGAAAAATTAACAATGCATTTTTGCTGGGGGAAGAAAAGAAAACCTCACCTCCCAGTTCTTGTTGAGGCTTTTTCCTTGCACCAAAGCAGCACCAACTCATATCGAAATGTGTTTCTGAAAACATTGCCCTGTACAATTTGGATGCACTCTGTAGACATACAAAGTATTAATTCATTTTATCAGCCCCGATACAATGAGTATAAATTAGAAAGTAAATATGGCGTGTTTCATTTCTTACAAAATCCTGTAAATTTGTCTAATTATTATTTTCTTCAGTATCGTCAAATATTGTCGAATTAAAAATATGTAACACGGAGCTTCATCAAATTCTCCAAAATTGCAACAACTATGACTAAGATTGGCATGTAGGAATATGTAATCATAGATGCAGTGAAGCTAACAGCTTACTGACCTCCATGGAAGCCCAAGTCACCACATAATACTCGAATCTAATGTCGTCGATTCCCTTTCCTATAGATGATCAACCCTCTTAAAAAGACAGAAAAACAATCATTAGATTGTTAATCAGCGGAAATCCACCAATCCATTAGCACATAGAACTATTATAATTCCAATATTTTGCAAAATTTGATGACTTTATTCATCTGAACTAAACTAAGGACATGATGTGCACCCCCCTGGAAAAATCTACAAAAATGCATAAATGTATATATCCTCCACTGAAAATAACATATGCAGATAGCCAAGAGCTGATCCAATAAATAAATAAATAATAAAATGTATACATATGGATACTTGTGCGTAAATCTGATGAATACATGTTAATCACCCAATTCATGTCAAACGTAAAATAAAACTATCCCTAATGAATCTAACCAATGCTAGAAAATTCATCTAATATAAAATTGAAACAAAAAAAAATATATCATTTTTCTGCTCCAATATTCTCTCTCTTAACCCATTTAGATCAAGACAAGGGTTTTCATGATTCAACCAATGATAAACCAAATTTGATCTTCCAATTTACTTACCAAGATGTGATTTTTGACTAATAATTGACCAAATTGAACAGCATAAGACCCAGAAACACCAAATTCCAGCTGAAATCCGAAACAAATTCATCTTTAACTATTTCAGCATATATCTTAAGCCTTCATCTCCTTGATTCAACAAAATTGAAGGAAAAAAACAAGCATCAATTTTAAAGTATATTTCAAAAATTTTGAGAAAAGAGAAGAGAAAGAACCTGAGCTGAGTTGCTACGGTGAACCTCGCAGACAATTTAGAGCAAGTCCAAACATTTTCTCAATCTTGAGCTCTTATAGCCAAGAATCGTCAAAGTAAATAATCAATTGTCAAAAAGATTAAGAACCCATAAATTATTTTCTTTATATTTCACTTTTAACAATAACAATACGCGCAGGAAATGGAGAAAGCTGGGGTTGGGGGGTCCTTTGGTTGAATAGAAATTGCAAGAGACGGGCGCCGTTTTTCTTCTCAAACTTTGCTAAAGCTTTTCGCACTATGTAAGAAAGAGACAAAGAAACCCAATAAAATTGCCAGTGAGATGTCATTTTAGTTTCATTTTTACAAGTTACAAGAATGTTTTTCACCGAATTATCATCAACTATTAGTAATTGGTTAATCCGTGCCTTCATACACGTAGTTAACTATGAGATTAATGAGTATTCTTGTCATAGGAGGGGATTTCCTTCTTGACGCCTATGTGGCGAAATCCTCACCATCCTCATAAAGTAGGAGAGAATGTGAGTTGGTGCCTTGGTGGGGATTTATGCCTACTTTATGAGGATGGTGGGGATTGTGCCACATAGGCGACAATGAGTGAAATCTCTCTCTTATGACAAGGATACTCATTAATCTCTCTCTCTCTATATATATATATATAGTATATATATATGAGATTAATGAATATCCTTGTCATAGGAGGGGATTTCCTCCTTGACGCCTCTAAAATCACACGATTGAGTGATACTATGGATGATCCGCTCTGTTGAACTTGATCTACATATTCTAAAACCCCAACATACCAAGTTTGGGGTGGATCCGTCGTCGTTTAACCCTCCATCGAGCCATGTGAAAAGTTCTATTCATTCAAAACCGTTAAAATTGATGCTTGGTAGTGAGGTGTCACATCTTCCTCCACTCATTCAAATATGAGACTATATTCACATGGGTAATGAGTGGATGTGGATGTGACATATCACTACCAAGCACAAAATTTGTGCTTGGTACCAAGCATACATACATATATATATATATATATATTAGCAAAATACCGATTAAGAGTGTGGAGGAACACACCCGGTGTCTAACTGTAGTTTTATGGTATGCGAATAACATAAATAAAAGAAGGAAAAACTATGCTAAACCCCAAATTAAAAACCTCAATATAACAACTCCTTTTGACTTTTGGTCTTGTGTTTCAGCCCTTGACCCAACTTATCATGTGAAAAATCCCTCCTCGATCCATATTTTCCTCATATCCCTAATACCCTTCTTTTCTTTCTCCTATCATCCTTCCTCCAACTATACTCAAGAGTCGAAAAAGTAGAGCAGCACACGAGGAGATTCACACGAGTGTGGATAAAAGAAAATTTAGCTAGTGGGGTTCACATTAAAGAATTATGAGAAGCAGTTCAAGTGATCTGATTGTCTAATTGCGGCCTGTTGATCTGATGTGGAGTTTTGTTTGGTGTTTGTTGTTGTGGATGCACATTAAATGGTCCAAATAGTTTTTCCGATAGATTGGTGAATTAGAGGTTCATTTCAGTGATCCAAGAGTTGATTCGTAAGTTTTAGAGTGCTCTGAAGGCGATGGGAGGGTTTGATTTTTCAGATTTTGCTCAGATTGGTCAGAAATTGCTAAAAAGTTCTGATAGTGATGACAAGACAGATCTGATGGCAGATAAGGCAAACGAGTATGCGACTGATGAGACTGACATAGAGAATCATATGTGATTCTAGCAGTAGAGCTATCAGCATATAATTATTCAGAGCCATTGTGGGATCAGTAGTTGGTTGGTGTGTAGACTCAAGGAGGACAGTGCGAGATTAGGTGGAGCTTACAAGCAGACATGACTGAGTGACACACATGCATATAGAGATTGTGTCATTGGACTTGAAGACGATGAGCTCTCATATTCGGTCCAAGCCAAGTGATGGAAGAGATGGAGGCATCTGGCTCGTAGTGTGGAGTAGGAGAGGTGTACTAATATGATTCGAGACGAGCGATGCAGGTGGAGTACGAGGCCAGCAAGTGAGGAAAGGCTACTGTCAAGTTTAGTTTGGGAGGAGAAGCATGATTGATTTGCTTCTAATGTCCAAGGTGACAAAGATCTCTTGGTGTACACAAGAGAGGTGGAGGCGCCACGACAAAGCAGATGATAGCGAAGGTCACGGTGTTAGATCTCATATTTATGAGCCTATTGTCTAATCTAATTTTGATGATTAACAAACAATTCCTAACATCGATTGTCAAGTATTTGCATTTGATTGTTAGGTATCCTACACAAAGATCCTATGTTCGAGGTTGGTTGGACGTGCGCCAACGTGATAATATCTATTGGAGGTTGGAAGAAAAACCAGAATGAAACTGTCGCATTTCAAATCAAAAAATACTATGCTTCATCCTTGCTACCAAGATCGAGCTAAACGAAGATTTTTATCTTGAGTATATTAGTTTAGATTTATACTTTATGTGTTTATACTTGAAGCTCAAAACATACACGTACACGTTATTTCAGTTTATCGTATCATACATCTATTTAAGAATATATCATGTTTTTGGATTATCAACTTAATGATATTGTTTTACATCTTTTCTAAAGTCTATTAATCCATTTAAAAGTTTTTCAAAACTTGTTTGAAGAAATTTCATAAAAAATCAAGTACTTAACAAACTCACATTTTTGACCGCTTTGCAAAACAATGAGTTTTCAAAAATACGAAGTGCTATTTTAGAAATTTCTTCTCTAACATGTTTATTTTCATATGTAAAAACATTGTCCCAAATTTTACTATTTTTGGAGTTGCTTTACTATTTTAAATTGAATTTAGAAAATCAGCTTTTCAAAATTTTAGGTTTCTGTGAATAATGTTATAAGTCGACCGATTTTTCCATAAGTCGACCGACCTGTATGTATAAGTCGACCAATTTTTTTCATAAGTCGAACGAACAGTGCGATTTCCAGCTTTTGTTTTTTTAGAGTCTATCAGTCGACCGATCCAAAAGATCAGTCGACCGATCAACGATAATTTTGCCAGTAACTGCTAGTTTTTGGCTGATTGTTTTGTTTTCTTTGGAGAGGCTATAAATATACCTCTTGATTCATTTATTCTATTAGGAAAGATTATAAAAAAGAGTTATGCAAGTTTGTTTAAAGAGTTTTTAAGAAAAATTAAGTGTGTTTTTTTATGTGAAGAGAGTTTCACAAGAGAATGATCGCAACATCGTTCTTGAGGATTTCAACCTCAAATTTCTACCTCTCTTATTTTTGGAGAAGTTTTATAAACTCTTTTCTTCTATCTAATCTCATATTTTAATTTTCACATTTATGCTAGATTGATTTGAGTTTATCTTTGATTGTGTTTTACCCATTGCTTTCACACATAACCACTTGAGCTTATGTATTTCACATATAGTATTTTTGGATTATGAGAGTGATTCCTTGAGAGAGCTTAAATTTCGTTCTCGTCTTTGTTAGATAACAAATCTTTACTTGCACTAATTGTGAAAATATGTTGTAATACACAATGACACTTAGAGGAGTGGTTGGGAGAGACCGGTGTCAATTCCAAAAGAAGTGGCTTGGTTGTAAAAGCCTAGGGAGAGGTAGTAATTCCAAGCACTTGAGAAAGGTGACACATGTAGGCCAATACTTAGAGGAGTGTCTTGTGAGATTGACAACGTGTGAATTATAAAAGTTTTCGGTGAGCTTTGCAAATCAATTGTGTAGTAATTTTGTGACAGTGGAGATCTCCTCGAGGTGAGAAGCGGAGATCATATCATTTATTTGCGTTTGGCTTTGGCATACTTTTCTTGTGCATATTTTTATATCGCCCATTGTCTCATAATTTATCGCCCATTATTTCATTGCGTATCCTTGCATATTTATCTTGTATATCATATTGTTAGGATATTATATTAGAAGTTTTTAATTTGGAATCGATATCAGATTAGATTAGAAATACCCTATTCACCCCCTCCCTCTAGGCTACTTTCACATGGGACGTCCCGGTTGGAGTGCAGGTGCTTCGATTTGAAGTACGAAATGAATAGAAGACGCTAGCAGGAGAGATAAAGTTTTAAGATGATGATGATAGATCTTCAAGGGAGTTTGGAAATCAAATCTAAGGAGGAGATTGTTAGGATTGTGTCTTTGATTCTTTATATAACTTTATGAGAATTAGATAGGGTTAGAGATCTATCATGATTAGGAGATTGAGTCTCATCGTGATTAGCAGTTTGAATCCTATTCTAATTAAGAAGTTAGGCTAGAGATAGGATTTTAGTTTCCCTATATATATTCTTCTATTATTGGAGGAAAAACCAAGCAGAGGAGAGAGAGACAATATTTTTGTAATCTAGGGTTAGAAGAGGGCGTAGTCTGATTCAAGAATATTGTGCGAGAGGCAAGGATTTCGTAGTTTTTGTCCGTGCAAAAGATTACATTATTAGGAGAGGGTTTTGCAGTCTTTGTCCGTTCAAAAGATTGTAAGGAGAGGGCTTTGGAGATAATATGAGAGTTGATTATGTATGTGAGGTTGAGAGATTGAGAGACGAGAGTTGAGTGATTCCTTTTGTAGTTCTCCCTGATACATAGTGAATTTCTTATATTGTTGCCCGTGGATATAGGTCGAAGTTGGTCGACTGAACCATGTAAATCTCGATGTTCTTTCTTCTTGATTATGGTTGTTTTATATATTATCGATTGTGGTTGACTTCCGAGTTGCGCAGATCACAGTAGGCGGGGAGACTGAAATTCCCCAACACCTCTTCTCTCCTCCTACTTCTCCATCTTCATCCTCTCCTCTCAAACCCGCCACCTTTTCTCGAATACCACGACTTTTCGCTAAAATGATCATCTCCTGAAATTCTGGTTGAAAGTAATACTTAACAATTAATTTTAGATCTTACATGTTAACCTTAGACATCACATGTTAACTTTAGTTGTAGGATGTTAACTTAGTCCTTATGTGTTAACTTTAATTTTCACATGTTAACTTTACTTGTTAGATTTTAACTTTAAAGCTTAGATGTTTACTTCTGTAAAACCCTAAAAGTTTGAATATTTTGTTATAAATAATAAATATGTTATATTATGAAAAAAATATTATTTATTAATATTTGAGTATGCTAGGAATTGATTTGAGATCAATTCAATGTATATATGTGAATATAGAAGTGATATCATGCACACGTGCACGGGCCTGAATATGGGAAAAACGACTAGTTAAAAGTATATGTATTTTACATACTGA